GGAAAAAAATAAGAACCAAGAGAGATTATGTAAAGGTGCAAATTTCCAATGATGAATGTCATTATATTGTATACCTAAAATGTACCAATAAATTCAATTAAAAATAAAAGAAATGTAGCATTTCACCTGGAATTTAATGTCTTTAAAAAGCATGACCCACTTGAAAGAATAAATCACACTTGGGAAAGGATTTAATATGGATCAGTCCTGAGTGTCATTCCCGCAGCCTTTTAAAGATCACTCTTCACACAGCTGGTGTGTGAGGGGAAGGGAGGCAGCTGGTTGATAAGGTCTCCTTCAGAGGGTGGCTTCTCTTGCCTTACTAACTACACATCAGGTAGCACCACCCTTCTGTTTGTTTTCACTGGGTCCTGGTGGAAATGTGCCCTGATGAGGTATGATTTCTATGGAGATCTCATAGATATGACAGCAAGTTTAAGAGTGGATTCAGGGTGAGCAGTGAGAACAGCACTGCTGAAAGCCTAGAATCCTAATGATGCTAATTCCACCCAGTGATAGCAACCACCAATAAGATTAGACGATTCAGACTCAGAAAGCATCCCATGGCAAACTATTTTGTCCTTATTTTGGTCAAACCATGTGGCAAGAGCACAGGTGAGACAATGAGGTTTATTTCCTCCCCCAATCCAAGTCTACTGGTGAGGCGTTCTCTCAGCCCTGCAGGAAACCGCTTGTTATAGAGCAGGAAAACAGGCAGAGCTTGGAGAGGGAAGAAGGCCTTCTCCAGCCCTGAGAAGCCAAGGCAACTGGGCCAAGACTGCAAATGCCTGGGATGGTTCCAGCTGAGGAGAAGGGGTACTTTATCTCCCCCTAGTGCTTAGAAGCACTTACCCCTGTTTTTCTTTTGGGGGAACCCCCAGTCTTTTATTATTTAAATTGAGAAAGGGTCTCACCTAAGTCACTCATTTGCCCAACTGAGCTAGAAGTTGTGATTCCCCCCTCCATCAGCCTCCCAGAGTGCTGGGATTACAGATGTGTACCACCATACCTGGCTGACCCCTGCTTTTAACTAGCAGCTAAAGCAAGTGGTAGAATGGTAGTCACCAGGCAGGGCAGCACACAGTTCTGGGCAGACCGCACCCAGGTGTGGTGCTGGCAAGCAGCCAGGCCATTGGGGTGAGGACAGTCTGTCATCTGAGTCTTTACCAGTGGACACCAGGGGTCAATGATGAGGGCAGAAGGTAAGAATACTAGACCAAGAGCAACTAAGTGGCTTATCTTGGAGCTGAGGAGGTTCATGGGAAAGTCTGTGAGATGCTGTTGAAGGGGGCTCTTTCCAGACCAGCCTGAGGCTTTCAGGCCTGAGTAAGGTGCCACAGAAAGGAAGCATGATCTCAGGTTACAGACAGATAAAGCCAGCAGCCATATTTCTCCACAGTCACTGCAGTAGTCTTTTGTAGATTAAAAATTTTGGATTCTTTTCTTTGGGGGGTACTGGGGATTGAACTCGGGTCCTTGCGCTTGTGAGGCAGGCGGAGGAACCATTGAGCTAAATCCCAGGCCCAAAAATTTTAGATTCTTAAAAAAATTAATCTTTTCTCCATTCCAGACTTTTTCCTTAAAATTATGAATCCTACTACCTAACAGGCACTCAGTATATTTGTGTTTCTATTATAATTTAAAAATTAGTGATGCCATCTGGAAAGAACTTGAGATTTTGCAGCAGTATGCATACTCAAGGATATATCCTTTACCTCTGAATGTACAAGTTAGTGTTAATATGGTCTCATTACCATGAAGCCATTTAAATTAGTGCAAACCTCATGCAATTTCATTTATTTATGTAGCTAAGCCATGGCATAATATGAGGGATGGGATATATTTTCAGAGATTTGGGTTGTCTAGCCTCATAAGTGAATTTATAAAATTCCTGCAAAACCTGGGGATCACCTCAGTCTGTTGTGTTTTATTGCTTAATTAGCAGGTTGTCAAAAAGCGGCACCATAGAAACTGAGTGATGCTGTTTCACCTGTTCACTTACTTTTTATCGGGATAATGAGCTGTGGAATGACAGGTAGAATCTTGTTCCCCCCGTGTTCCAGCATGTCATGGATTCCTTGCCGAGCAAAAAACTCATAGGGAAATGTCATTTCACAAAGCCCATCAAAAAACAGAGGCAGATAATGATGGTAATCCAGCTTCTCAATTTCTACCTAGAAGTAGAGAGAGAAGAAATGCCATGTGAAAATAACAATGGGAAAGCACAGGCCAACTAGCTAGCCCAAACAACATTGGCAAAGCTCTATCCCCAACTCAGAGGAAGGAGTCTTTGAGTGAGATTTTGTGAGTGAGAATTTGAGTGAAGAAGGTTTAGCTGATCAGTGATACTATCCACCCAGAGCATATCATCATCATCATGTCTTTAATCTGGTCTCAAAGAGGCTAAAATTGATGATCTTTAAATGTTAACAGTCAAATCTCTTATTCACATATAATCTGCATTGGTAGCATATTAATAATTTGTTTCTGTTTTGGTTAAGCTTTTCCCATTTGACACAACAGTGACATTGAAAATGATTTTTAAAAAATCTATAATGTATATGCTGAAAAGACACATAAAAGAATAAAATGAAAAGGAAAAAAACCCAGTTGAAATAGATCTGCACCAAAAGTTCTAACAAAGATGTAATAGGGAAGACATTACTGTATTCTTGTGAAGTATATGGATGTGAAGGATGCTAAAGTGTATTAATGTGATTTCCCAGGTTCTTTCAAACCTAGCTAAGAAGGCAGTGGGGCTCAAACATGATTCCTTGGGGCTTGGATGACAAATAGAATGTTGGTGCCATCAAGAAAGAAGAAGACAAAGAGTGGGCTGAACCTGAATGGACTCTGAGACCTCAGGTTCCCTGACTTCTTGTCCAGACCTTTCAGTAGTATCAAGCACCTCCATCAGGCAATGATGGTGTAGTAACTTCTGGAGTTGAGGAACCAGACATGAGTTGGGAATTATCCACAGGTAGGTGATCTGTTCTTGCCCAGGCCTTACACTATCTTGAGTATCCTGGACTGACCTAACACCAGCAAGGTGACAGAGGTGATATTATAGGTGGAAAGAGGCCCAACGACTCAGATTGCAGCTATAGTACATCTACACAGCAAGGGATGTGGCATTCCCAGGAACAGGAGCTGATTTTCCGGTTTCTAAGTCCTTATGAACATACCCACCTTCCAAAGATCACATTCTAATTAAGTGAGGAACCCATCAAGACCTTTGAGAAACTCCCTGTCAGCGTGGCAGATAGCTTTTATATCTTCCTGCTCCTGCTGAGCCTTCTGGAGTCTCTAGACACATACATGCTGGCTTTGGTAATTGCCTGGCACAGTCCTGAGTGTTTTTTGTGAGTGGGGTGGATTAAATGTCCTACAAATCCTGGAGCTGGAGGTCTGCTGAGAGTTTGCTCGTGAACTCCCCTCTACAAAGCACTTCCAGGCATGGGATAGACAAGAAGAGAGCACCCAGACAGCTAAGGGAGCAAGCAGGCAAGAGCTGACATCAGATCCTCTTGTGGAACTGGACCTCAGAAAATGGGTCCCAAATGTAGGGATATATAGACCTCAGTTTTACCTTATCTTCCTTGTAGATTTATAGAATTTATTTTATTCAGTAAAGGCTTGTGGCATATCTACTTAATATTTAATTTTCTCAAGGATTTTTGTGCATTTGAAAATGTTTTAGAACGTTGTTTTGTATGCTTTGAAAAATTTATCGCTACATCATTCAGCTACTAATGGTACAATGTTACCTGTAATTTTACCTTGTAACCTAACTTCATAATAAAAGTGTCATCTGTACTATAATTTTTACTTAACATTTTTAACATATTTTTCTCATTCTTTCAGCCTGTTGCCATGCTTTTACATGTATCTCATAATTAGCAAAGCATTAAATTTGGTACTTTAATATGATCTAAGACTATTTTAATACATTAATTTAGGTTATTTACATTTATGGCTATGCTTGGTTAACTTCTATCACCTTATTTTATGGTAGCCAGTTGTTTTTCATTTACTTTTTCCTTTCTGTGTTGCAGTTTTGTTAATGTAGATTATATACATTTTTTTGCAATGACTTTAAAGAAAGCCTGTTTAGGTATTTCATTGAGGCTGTCTTACAGTTTCTCAACTATTTTCAAACATATCTATCTTAGTGAGAGAAGCCAATTAAACATCTCCTAATAAGATTATTGATATGCCAATGTTTCTTGGAACTCATCTATTTTCTTAATCTTATGGTTTAGAGCAACAATACTAACAACAGCAACAATAATAGTTGCCAATATGTATAATGCTAGACAATGTAATTACTACACCAGTGCATTTAATCCTCACAACACCTCTAACACATCTTATTAGCATCCCAATTTACAATAAATGGAAAGTCAGTCACAGAATGGTTCAATAACTTGCCTAAGGCATGCAGCTAGTGAGTTCTGGGAGCTAAGATTCAAACCCAAGCTCCCAAACCCAAGGATGGTTGCTTGACATAGAACTGCCTTTCAGCCTTTGTTTTTGTGCATATTGAGGGTCAGCATTACTATCACCTCCTGGTGAATTATACCACTTATCCTCATGTCCCCACATTGTTTATCATTGCTGATGCAGCTTGTCTTAGTCTAGTCAAATACTAATATTGGTATTTTCCTATCATGTTTTTATATCCTTTTACTTTCTTCCTTGTTCTAACATTATATTTTGAATGTCTCTCCTATGTAGTTTATGGATGGACTTTTTTTCCCCCTTCCATTTTATAATGTACATTTAAAAACAAATATGTAGTGCCCACATGATTCCTATTCTCAAAAGTTTTGAAAAAGAAAGAAAAGTCACGAGAGAAAGGAAGAGAAAAAAGAGCAGTTGAAAGATATATGTTGAATGTAAGATTGAGTGAGAGATTGAGAAAGAAAAATTTATCCCCATGTCTTTAATCCTCCTAGCTCACTAATCACAGTAATTTCTTCCTACCAGAACTTCCCACAAGTATTTTTCCTGATTTGCTTTTCAATTACTTATATCAGCCATCATTTTATGTCTGTTACTTTCAATAAATAATTGGATGACAACTTGCCAATGTTTTTTGAGGTCACAAACTTCTTTTATTCATTTCATTTTTTTCTATTAGTACATATTTTTAATTCATGCAATTTACAGTCATCTTGGGGAATGTTTACATGTACATAGCTTCTTTAAAAAATTCCCTTCTCCTCTGATTTCCCCAATCACCTTTTTCCTACCTGGTAATACTGTTTGTATTAGCACATGTTATGGCTCATACTGTTTATATTGATTGGGGTTATTAGCGTCCTCTACTAGGCATATCTTTATTCCTCTCATTTCCCCTTCCCCTGACCCCTACCCTCTCCTTGTTCCCTTAGACCATTTCCCTACTGGATGAGATCTGTCCCTTTCTATCTATCTTTTATCATTTTCTTTGTTTGTACTTTGCCTCACTCAAATGAGAGATACCATATAGTATTCAAACATGTATGTCTGGTTTATTTCACTCAACGTTATGTTTTCTAGAGCATCCATTTTCCTACAAATTCCTCAAATTTGTCATTCTTCATAGCTGAGTAGTATTCCATTATATACTGATACCATATTTTGTTAATCTGTTAATGGGTATTTAAGCTGCTTCCAGGATTTAGCTATTAAAATTGTGCTGCTATAAACATTTGTGTGCAAGTATCACTGTAATATAATGACTTAAGCTCTTTGAGGATGATACCTAGCAGGGGAATAGCTGGGTCATATGGAATTTCTAATTTTAATTCTTTGAGAAATTTCCATACTGACTTCTATAATGATTGTACTAGTTTGTATTCCCACCAATAATGCAGGAGAGTTCCTTTTAACCACAGCCACACCAGCATTTGTTATTGATTGGTTACAAACTTCTTTAAACACTACAGATGCTGTCGTATCGATTTTGTATATGAATTTCTTTCTGCTTGTGTATCTTCCAGAATTTTTTTCTTAGGCTTATAATATTATTTTCAATTGATGCATTGGCCTAGTGCTTGGTAAGCCTTCTTGGATTACATTTACCATAGGATGTGTGTGTGTGTGTGTGCGTGCGCGTGTTAATAACATAACTGACTTCATTGTATTTTTCATTTTTCTTTCTGAAAAGTTCCTTCCAGTTACTGGTCCATTTTCACCATAAAGTTTTTCAGAAGAATTTTCTACAATCACTGCTATATTTCCTCACTCTAATTCCTTCTTCAGCATACTTCTCTACCATGTCACTGAGGTTGCTTTGATATCAGTGACCAATGACTGTCTTTCTGTCTAAGCCCCTTCTTCCTTTTCTGTTCTCACCAGCTTGGCACAGATGACCCCATAAAGTTACCTTCCTGGGCCTCCAGGTGCCACACCTCCAATACTGGGTGTCATATTATTCCCCTCGCTTCAAACCCCATGTTCAATCCATAAGCAATCTGATTGGTTCTATCGCCACATAAGCCTTTATAGCATACACATTTCCACCATTCTGCTCACCACCAGCTTAGTCTCACTTGGCTTACCTGGGTTAGCTACTACAGCTTCTTAACTGACTATTGTTTCTCCTTTTGCCTCCTATTTCCCTTCTCCTTGACCAGCTATTGCTCCTGACCAGAGTCCCACCAGGACCTTGCCAGTCTGTGCTTTGGATGGCTTCATTTGAAACTGTCCCCCAAGCATCTGGAGCTCAGGAGACTGTTGTCTTTTGTCCCCAGGTCTCACTCACCTCCCCATGGCGACTTTCTCTGAATGCACTTCTGTTTGTTAGCTTGGCTCAGATGGCCATAACAAAATACCATAGGCTGGGTAGCTTAAAGTACAGATACTTATTTTTTCAGTTCTGTAGGCTGAAATCTGAGATCATGTGTTAACATCACTGAGTTCTGTTGAGGCCTCTCTTCCTGGCTGTGGACCGCTGCCTTCTCATTGTGTCCTTACATGAACTTGAATCTGTGCCTGCAGACAGCAAACTCTAGTCTCCTCTTTTCCTCTCCTCTCCTCTCCTCTCTCCTCTCTTGTCCTCCTCCTCCTCTTCCTCCTCCTTCTTCTCTCCCTCTCTCTCTTCGTCTCTCTATCCCCACCTCCGCCCCCCATAGTGGGGATTAATCCCAGGGGCTTTGCACTGACCTACATCCCCAGGCTTTTACAT